ATGGCAGCCTTCCTATGCCTGGTGGAGGCCAGCTGGAGGTTACCTGAAGGGGAATCATTACCCCTCCCCTGCATCATATCAGGATCTCCTTTTAGTCAAATGATTCACACAGTCTATAAATTATATCGAGCCAGAACACATCTGCTGCCCAGAGGGAAGGAGACAATGGAACTGTTTGCAGTCAGTCAGATACAGGTTCCTGAAAAATAAATATACCTTGGTTTGCCCAGCAGTTCTCTAGGGACAAATGGGCCACTTTCATATTTCAAAATGGCATGCATATGGCAAGATGACAGCATACTTCAAAACGAGGAGCTGCGGAACGCCAGGGACATCTGGGCGAGGTCCTGGGCTCACTCCAGCGGTGGAGCAGTGTGCAAGGCAGATTGCTGGGGGCACAGCAGGCATGCTCAGGTATTGCGAGTAAACACCGAGGAACCGAGGCAGCTCATGCGGCGCACCTTGGCTGAGCGCGACATGGAACAGGATGTGGGCAGTCATCTTTCAAATACCCACTGTAGCGGGGACCATCCCAGTGGAGGAACAAACCATGCAAGACTCGCCTCCAACAGCGACACCGTGTGGCAGCTACGCCAGCTGCAGGCGTGGGCCGCTCAGGCTCGCATCTAGCTCAGAGGGAAGAGGCAGGACTGTCGCTTTGGCTCAATAAGGCACTGGGATCATAAGCCCTGTGCCCCAAGTTTGGGCAGCCGCTCGTGCCAGTTACATTCATTTTCATCTCTCTCACAATTGCTCTATATGTAAGCATGGGAATGACTTTTAGCTGTATTGATTTGTGGGTTGCCTGTGTCTCTGAATTTCTGGCCTCTTGGTAAAAGTCAGGGCTACCCTTAATAGACCCTGTTTTTGGGCTGGGCGCGGTGGCTCACGCCTGTGATCCCAACACTTTGGGAGGCCGAGGCGGGCGGATCACGAGGTCAGGAGATTGAGACGATTCTGGCTAACACGGTGAAACCCCCTCTCTACAAAAAATTAGCCAGGAGTGGTGACAGGCGCCTATAGTCCCAGCTACTCCGGAGGCTGAGGCAGGAGAATGGCGTGAACCCGGGAGGCGGAGCTTGCAGTGAGCCGAGATCGCGCCACTGTACTCCAGCCTGGGCAACAGTGAGACTCTGTCTCAAAAAAAAAAAAAAAAAAACCCTGTTTTTCGAGAGGACCTTATAGAAGTCCCTCTAAGTAGCAACAGTATACACACTGCTGGAAAAGTACAGTTCCTTCCTAATACGGTTTGGCTGTGTCCCCACCCAGATTTCATCTTGAATTCCCACGTGTTGCCGGAGGGACCCCGTGGGAGGTAATTGAATCACGGGGGCGGGCCTTTCCCATGCTGTTCTCCTGATCATGAATAAGTCTTACAAGATCTGATGGTTTTGAAAAACGGGAGGCTCCCTGCACACACTCTCTCTTTGCCTGCCACCATCCACGTAAGATGTGTCTTGCTCCTTCTTGCCTTCCACCGTGATTGTGAGGCTTCCCCAGCCACGTGGAACTGTGGATTCTGCATTAAACCTCTTTCTTTTATAAATTGCCCAGTCTCGGGCATGTCTTTATCAGCAGCATGAAAACGGACTAATACACCCCACTGACTGGATAAAAAAAGGACTCAATGTTTCCAGTGCTCAACTGGCTGCTGGAATGATATCAGACTCCTCCTCTTCGGTCCATAACCACCTACCCCACCCGAGGTGGTAAGAAACTGTAACCCCTAACTCTGCTCTTTGCCCAGAGATCTCCCCTTTCTTTCCCCTGGGTCTCAGGAGGTCAGCAGTGCCAATGCAGTTTTCTCCTGTCTTCCTCAAATGCTGTGAGTGTGAACTCCCTGCACAGAGAAAAGCTGCAATGGGGGCCACCCCGGGACAGCGCTGCTCAATCAGGTATCAGTCAGGTGAGCATAAAGACAAACGTCACATGCCTCTCTTCCCTACAGCGGAAGAAAGTGCCTGAAAAAGAGACCGAGTGGGCTGAACTAACCTTTAGTATTTAAGTACCGTTTTCTCACACGTCTTAGTCACATAGGGAAGTCACTCAAAGGTGAATTGTAAGTGGGGAGAAGAAAATGGATCCATGGAAATTAAATGGAAAGTTATTTGAAATATGATGGAGGTGACACTCTACAATTTGCCTTCCAGCCCAGATCACAGACTTTCCATCCATCCCTCAGTGCGTCTCACCCTTCACCCAAAGCACCTGTTGAAGCCAGGTGTGCTGGCTGGCTCAGAAGATCAGGAATGAATATGGGATTCTTCGGACTTCCCTATTTTGTTAGGGAATATAATCCCAGGGAGCAGGGCCGAGGGAGAAAGGGAATGAAGCAGAGAAGGAAAGAGAACCCACTCAGGGGGCCAGTTACTGAGCTGCCTGCCACCAAGTGCCAATGATGGCTACATCTGTGGGCACTCATTCAAAATATATTTAACACTCATTAAATCCCAGGTATTGTGCAAAAAGCATTAGAGTCCCTGTTCTCACAGAGAAATCATGTGAATGGCATCTAAAGCCTGTCCATGGGAGTGCAGGGAAAGGAAAAATTTACCATCATCTCTTGCCTTCATTGGGCAAAGATTCACCCCAGAGGGCATAAACTCCCCAACACTTCCAGCTTGCATATGTATGGACACCAGGCAGGTCTCTGCCCTGAGGTGGGAGATGAGAGGTGACCAGTGTGCACATAGGGAAGGCACTGTTGTGCCCGTGTGATGTCAGCTGGAGCCCATGTGCCACAGCAGCTGAGACAAGGGGCAGGTGAGGCCAAGAGGATCCGAAACACCATCCTGGGAAGCATTAGAAGAACAGGACTGTAGCAACTGTTTGCAACTCCACACTGGGACATCTAGAGCTGTGTGGCAGCCAGCAGGACAACGTGAAAGAGCCAGACTCTCCCAGAGACCCAAGTGACCCCAAGCACATACTAAGTCTGAGCAGTAAATGGGACTTCACAGGCCTTTGTGGTCTTCTGAAAACGTTCTACGCTCTGGTTCGTAATCCACATCCTGCACCACTTTGGAACCCAGCAGAATCACAATCCAACCCTCTCTCCCCCAGGAAGGCAGTTAGAAAAGAGGTGTCACAGGTCTGCAGTCAGCCCGTGTTCAAGTCCCAGGTCTGCCACCTACTGGCTTCGTGACCTTCTGCAAGATTCCTAAACTTCCTTGAGCCTCAGTGTCTTCCTCTGTAAAATGGGAAGTTGTGCTATCAAACGACATCATTGAATGTAATGTTTAGCCAGCCCATCGTCCAGCTCTAGCTCCCCATAAATCCTCCACAAATAGAAGTTGTTGTGATTATTATGCCGCCAAACTCTGTGCCTCCGGGAGTATCAGGTTTCTCGGGGAAAAATTAGGATGGTGTGATACTCTGAAAGGATTCTAAACCTTTAAATATATCATGAACTGCTCCCCCCTTGTGGGCAAATAGGAAACTTGGCAACAGGAAAATGGGCTGAAACAGAAATAAAATTTGGTAGTAAAATTAGCATCACATTTTTCCATCTTTGTTCAGGGCCCATCAGGAGTGGGTTGGTTCTGGAAGAAGCGAAATGAATTCATCCTAAAAGAGAGTCTGGTATTCTTTGCCCCACTGTCAGACTTGGGGTGTCATCCTCAAGGCGATGCTTGTGAATGACTTTGTACTTTTATGAAAACAGTCCCAAGTGCTTAACTTTTCATAAGCGGACATACCCTGTTCCTTGACACGAAGAGGTTCCATGCTACTTTGGTTTTTGAGTACCTAACAATCAAGGCCAGATGCAATGGCTCACACCCACAGTAATCCCAGAACTTTGGGAAGCTGAGGCAGTTGGAAAACTTGAGCCCAGGAGTTCAAGACCAGCCTGGCCAATATAGTGAAACCCTGTCTCTACTAAAAGTACAAAAATAGCCAGGCATGGAGGCTCGCACCTGTAATCTCAGCTACTCAGTAGGCTAAGGCAGGAAAATCTCTTGAACCTGGGTGGTGGAAGTTGCAGTGAGCCAAGATTGTGCCACTGCACTTGAGCCAGAGTGACAGAGTGAGACTCTGTCTCAAGAAAGAACAAAGAGAGAAAGAAAGAGAGAGAGAAAGAAAGAAAGAAAGAAAGAAAGAAAGAAAGAAAGAAAGAAAGAAAGAAAGAAAGAAAGAAAGAAAAAAGAATCGTAGCTTTTTTTCCTTGCTTTCAGTTAGTTAAGGACTTTATTAGCCCCCGAGGTGTCTACGCAGCTCTAAATTTGTGCCAGCCTTCACACCAGGCTTGGGGATAGGGAGCTGAGCCTCTAGGGGAAAGTTGCTTAGAAGGGGACACACATCCCGAGATAGGTGCACACAGAGAGGCTGAAACCCCATCTCATTTTAAAAATAAAATGAAGACAACACAAAGCCTTAGGGCCTGCCCTCTGCAGTCTTAGTGTCTAGAGGAGGATACTGACACATAGATGATTACAATACAACCGGGCTGAGAATGGGAACGGGAGAGCACACCAACATGCCCTTTCTAGAGATGTAGCACCAAGAGTCCACACCAAGCTTCACGGCAGCTAAGCCAGCCTACACTCAGTTCCCGGCACACCTCAGTCTTCCAGTCTCTGGTTATTGGTTCAGACCACTCCTTCCACTTAAATGGAATGTTTATATTTTATGTTTATCAAATAAGCATCAATTTTTTAAAGGATTGATGAGCATTCCTCTACAAGATCCTTTTCTACCCAAGTCAAAGCCACCAATTCGTATTACCAAAATTTCCCAGGGCCCAGGGCCATGAGGTTTAGAGAGAGGGAGAAATTCCTCTTGCCCCATAAAAGGCCTGCTTAGCAAGTTCCTCTTTCCAGTGCTAGAACTGCCTCTTCCCAGTGATGACAATGTGCAAGTCCATACCCTTCGGTGGAAGTGCTCCACCCCGTGCCCAAGAGCTGTATCAGGGGAGGCTATGCTCACGCAATGTGAGAGGAGAGGGAATGAGGATGTACCTCTATCTCCCGAATTACCAAAAGAATGGACAGCTCCTTGCCTTTTCATTTTCAAATGTTTTATTGATACATAACATTCATATAGAAAATTGCACAAATCATAAGGTATAGATAGATGAATTCTCTCAAAGGATTACCTCCCCCCATAAAAACTACTCAGGTCAGCAACTATGTTTACACTTTTGATATGTCTTAAACTCTAAGTTATTCCATCTTAAAGAGTTGCGATTTGCTGAACCCAGGCCAAGTGTGTGTGGTCTCTTCTCCAGCACGAGGCAGGCCGAGGCGATGCCAGCCTGTTCTTCCTGTGCGTTTGGGGTCTCTGCTCCTCATTCCAGCAAACAGCGAAGTCGGACCTAATACACACAGCTCCACAGAAACCACAGCAGTGTTTGCAGACACGCCACAGTGTGAGTCCACAGGCGGAACGAAGCCATTTCCCAAAGGAAACATTGGCTGCAAAACAAACAAACAAACAAACAAACAAACAAAAACCCTCTGCCTACCGTGAAGACAGCATTTGAATCCTTAAACAGGGCAACAATGACTGCTTGCAGCAGTCATTAGCCTCTCAACTAAACAGCCCATTCAGGTAGACTTCTCTTAAAAAGAAACAGTTTCCATTAAAAGTATATTCAAGACTTTACCCCTTGCATGACTAAAAACCCTTGAGGGTACTGAAATGATCTTTTCCACATCTTTTATCACTCCCAGAAAGGTTTCAAAGAATTACAATTAAATTCCACTTTCCCCCAGAGGCTCTGAAAGGAGGATGCTTTGCCAGGAGATGGAGGCAGCAGAAGAGACATTTCACTGAGATCCTGGGATCACCTGCCATACCCACAAATATTCTCTTTCCTTCAAGATTAGCTGAAGTCCAATTCCTGCTCAGCCTTTCGTGCTCTCTCCAGGGACCTCATCTGGTATTTGCCAAACACTTTCTCATATACTAAATCTTTGCACTTGCCCTGGTGCCTTATGGTTATCTAAGGCTCAGACAAACTCATTTATAGACTTCCCAAACATTCCCTTGGTGGCAGACACTGAGTTAGGACCTGAATACATCAGGGACAGCATACTGATCACCAATTTATCTCCCCTTTTAATAAAGTTGTCCCTGGGAGCTGACTTCCAGACCAGGAGCTACATCTCCCATCCTCCTTGCATTAGATGAGGCCATGTGACCATTTCTCAACAACGGAAAGTGAGTAAAAGTGATGTGTATCATTCCTGAGAATAAGTGTTAAGAAGTGTGGCTGCCCTAGCCCCTCTTCCCTTATCCACTGGCTGGATATAGAGGACTGCAAAGCTGCAAGGCATGGAAAAGCCACAGAGTAGGAGCCAGAGTCCCCAGATCACCAAGGAAGGGAAAATCACCCACCAACCCAGAATATCTGCACGGGCTATTATGTGATTGAGAAATTGATTTCCACCATGCTAAACTACTGAAACATGAGGGATTATTTGTTACAGCACTAGTATTACTCTGACTTTACAATGAACAAGATATGATCTCTATCACAGAGATGCTGATATACAGAAAAGTTAGACTTGCACTTTAGAAATCTCTTTCTAGGTCACGCATGGTGGCTCACGCCTGTAATCTCAGCACTTTGGGAGGCTGAGGCAGGTGGATCACCAGGTCAGGAGTTTGAGACCAGCCTGGCCAATATGGTGAAACCTCATCTCTACTAAAAATACAATAGCCAGGTGTGGTGGCACGCACCTGTAGTTCCAGCTACTCAGGAGGCTGAGGAAGGAGAATTGCTTGAACCTGGGAGGCAGAGGGTGCAGTGAGCTGAGATGGTACCACTGCACTACAGCCTGGGCAACAGAGCAAGACTCTGTCTCAAAAAAAAAAAGAAAAGGTGGCGGGCGCCTGTAGTCTCAGCTACTTGGGAGGCTGAGGCAGGAGAATGGCGTGAACCCGGGAGGCGGAGCTTGCAGTGAGCCGAGATCACGCCACTGCACTCCAGCCTGGGAGACACAGCGAGACTCCGTCTCAAAAAAAAAAAAAAAAAAAAGAAATCTTTTTGTAGCAACAAGATGGAGAATAGACTGAAGTGCCTCCCAAGAAGGAAGACAGACATAGATATAGATATAGACATAGATACACACACACCTATACATGTATATTTATACACACATCTATATATACATATATATATCAACTATTAATTTTATTTTTTCAAATCCAACATTTATTCTCCCTTCTTATAACATCCTAATTTTCCTTAATCCATGTAGTTTAAGTAGAACTGATTAAGTAGAACCAATTCTAAAGGTCTGTCAGAGTCATCAGAGCTACAATGGGACCTTTTCCAGAAGAATGAGAGAGAGGCATCCTCTTTCCTCAGTGGTCTCCTGAGAGATAGATTGTGGGACTGGTGCCCGTGGCAGCCATCTTGCCCCCATTAAGGGAGAGATTGCTGAAAATGTAATGAAGGAAGAGAGGAGGTGGAGTGGGTTCAAACATCTGGCCTATGATCCGTTTTCCTCCCAATCACTAGCGGGATTTGTAGAGAAAGAGGACAAATGACAAAATTTATTTGTAATTATGCTGATAACTGACCTCTTGATAAATAGTTTCAAGAAGAAAAGCCCTTATTTGTGGACTGCTGTTAGCAAGATGCCCCTGGCTTAGAACTGCTTATGGTAAACAAATCTAGAATCGATGGATAAATGAGGCACGTAAAAATTGAAAATGTCACATAAGCTCAGTAACAATCTTTCAAGAAAATGGAGATGTCTCATAATATAAACCCTCCTTGCTGTGTAAGATGAGCACAAACATTACTTAGAGACCTCATCTTACTACTCTCAGCCAGAAAGCATGTCTCATACAGGAAAGAAGGACCTGGGGAACCTTGTGGGATCTCTCTCAGCTCTCTCTGTATTCAGTTATCTATTGCTGTGTAACCAATTTCTTCAAAATTTAATGGTTTAAACAACATTGTTTTATTCTCTCTTGTGTTCTCTGTGGGCCAGGAATTTGGACAGGGCACAGCTGGGTCAGATTTTCTTTGCTACATAGTGTCCGAGACCTCCCCTGGAAACACTAAGAAACTGGAAGTGACTCGGTGGCCGGGGCTGGAATTGCCTGAAGTCCTGTTCACTCACATGTCTGGAGATGGGTGCTGCCTGGGAGCCCAGCTCATGCTAAGGATGGCATTTCTCCCCACGTGGCCTCTCCACAGCTTTCTTTGCTTCCCCACAGCATAGTGGCTGGACTCCAAGACTGCAAATCCCAAGAGAAACAGGCAGAAGCCATATCACCTTTTATGACCTAGACCCAAATGTCATCTAGTGCCACTTCTGTTGTGTTCACATGCCCACCCAGATGCAATCGAAGGCAACGTGGACCTCACCTCTTGAGGGAAAGGTGACAGTGTCACACAATGAGAAAGGCACATGGAATGGGAGAGCTTGCTGGGGCCATCATGGAAAGTGCAGCCTGCCTCGTGCTGCGCTCGCCTGTGCCATCAGATTGCTTATATATTTGCAATTACTAGTAAAGGTGAGATCTCCAATTTGACAGAGGAATTAAGAGTCAAGAGATGATGAACAAGAAAAAAAACTCAATGGGCCAGGTACGGCGGCTCACGCCTGTAATCCCAGCACCTAGGGAGGCCGAGGCAGATGAATCACTTGAGACCAGGAGTTCAAGACCAGCCTGGCCAACATGGTGAAACCCCGTCTCTACTAAAAAACACAAAAAATTAGTTGAGCGTGGGGTTGCACACCTGTAACCCTAGCTACTTGAGGGCTGAGGCAGGTGGATCGCCTGAGCCTGGGAGGTGGAGGCTGCAGTGAGCCAAGATCACGCCACTGTACTCCAGTCGGGGTAACAGAGTAAGACTCTGTCTCAAAAACAAACAAACAAAAAAGATATTTAATAACCATGTCTGTGCTGTATATCTGGCTGTGCCTGAAGTCAAAATCATCCTAGCACTGCCCAACTGCATGAGCCAATATGTTCTCCTTTTTATGTAAGCCTGTTTAGTTTGAGTTTTCTTTCCCTTGTAATCAAAATATTTAAGAATAATATAGTGTGTATATATTATTTACCACCCTATAAGGTGGTACTTTTAACTGTTTGTTTGTTTGTTTGTTTGTTTATGAGGTGGAGTCTCACTCTACTGCCCCAGGCTGGAGTGTCGTGTGGCACAATCTCGGCTCACTGCAACCTCTGCCTCCTGGGTTTAAGCAATTCTCCTGCCTCAGCCTCCCGAGTAGCTGGGATTACAGGCACACACCACAACACCCGGGTGATTTTTGTATTTTTAGTAGAGACAGGGTTTCACAACGTTGGCCAGACTGGTCTCAAACTTCTGACCTCGGGTGATCCACCCACCTCGGCCTCCCAAAATGCTGGGATTACAGGCATGAGCCACCACACCCAGCCACTTTAAGCTGCTTATAAAAATATACACATACTGGGCTGGGTATGGTGGTTCACACCTGGAAGGCAATAGTTCAAGACCAGTCTGGGCCACATGGCAAGACTCCATCTCTACAAAAAAAATTTTTAATTAGCTAGGTGCAGTGGCTCATGCCCTGTCATCCCAGCAGTTTGGGAAGCTGAGGCAGGAGGACTGCTTGAGGCCAGTTATTCAAGATCAGCCTGGCAACATAGTGAGACCCTGTCTCTACACAAAGTAAAAATAGAAATACAGATTTGGTCATCAACAATACTTTTAAAAGCTGAGTATAGGCCGGGCGCGGTGGCTCAAGCCTGTAATCCCAGCACTTTGGGAGGCCGAGACGGGTGGATCACGAGGTCAGGAGATCGAGACCATCCTGGCTAACACCGTGAAACCCCGTCTCTACTAAAAATACAAAAAAACTAGCCGGGCGAGGTGGCGGGCGCCTGTAGTCCCAGCTACTCCGGAGGCTGAGGCAGGAGAATGGCATAAACCCGGGAGGCAGAGCTTGCAGTGAGCTGAGATCCGGCCACTGTACTCCAGCCCGGGCTACAGAGCAAGACTCCGTCTCAGAAAAAAAAAAAAAGCTGAGTATAGACAAGACATTCTGCTAAGTGCTGAAGATAAATGGATGAGCACAACAGGCAAGATGTCTGACCTCGTGGAGCTTCCTTCCAGGAAGAATCATTGTCATTGGATGAGTGACAGTTGAGGCCATGGGTGTGCATGAGGCCCACCAGGAATGCAGTCTTGGGTAAGTTGCAGACTATATTTCAGGGCTAAGCTGAGGCAAGGATCCCTCAAAGGAGATTGAGAAGGAATGGCCAGAGAGGGGAGATTAAAACCATAAAGAATGTCCTAACAGCCACCCAGGAGAGAGTATGTAGACTGAATATGAAAGTGTTTAGGCCAGGTGCAGTGGCTCACACCTGTAATCCCAGCACTTTGGTAGGCTGAGGTGGGCGGATCATGAGGTTAAGAGATTGAGACCCTCCAGGCCAACATGGTGAAATCCCGTCTCTACTAAAAATA